CCTGATCTGTGGAAAACAGGACCTCATTCCTCCATCAGCAGCTTCTTCCAATTCCTATTTCACTGGGGACTTTTGCATTTGTCCCTAGGTTTGCCTGGTGAAAGCTTCAACACGGGACAATATTAGTTAATGAGTAATACACAGCTATTCACCAGTTTCACACTTTCAAGTCCTTTTTATGGAGTTTCTTACTTCAAAGCAGTGTTGTTCTGCCCGTTTAAGGAAATTATCCACAACACCACACAGAGAAAGTGTTGCAGTAAACTGAGGTAGTCTCAATTTATATTGTAACTCCACACATGTTGTTTGGAATAACGGGAAAACCCAATAGGAAATGCTAATTCACACTGGGTTTCTGGGAGTTCCAGATTTCAAGAGAGATCTTTTGAGCTCTTCTGAAGTAATCTTCCTCAAACTGTAAGTTGTACTATTATAAGACTTAAGTTCTTCCCATTTCCTTTTTAAGGCTAAAATTAAACTTGCCCATTCCTTGGGGCCCAGAGGAACATCTGCCAGATGTCCAGGCATCTATGTTGAACAATACTCATCTACTTGTCAACTCTCTTTTTAATCATCCTTTTATCGGTCTTCATAAAAGTCAATTCCTCTTTTAAGTCAAAGTGCACAATGCTAACGAATTTTGTTATAAAGGTCACTGGATTGGAATGATCGTATTTTTTTTCCATTTCCACTTGCAGTTGCCTTGCTTTCCCTTTCCAGCACCCCATTATGTACTTATATTCTTCACACTCCAAGCATACACATTATTGTATTTTTAGTTTTCTTCTTGCAATAAAATAGTATTTTTAATTATGGAAGGAAATTTAGACATGACATCTTAAATTTCTCAAAAACATAACCTGGTGTGACGCTAGTGAAAATGTAAAATGAAATCAAATAATTCTTTAAATATGTTTAAAGCAGTGGTTTATAGGCTATGTCTAGTAGGTGTGAGAAAAGTGATTAAGAAAAGCATATTTAAATACTGGAAAATAAGCTACCAATGCTTACTCTTTCTATTAGATTGGACCAGTAAAAGATTCTGCGTGCCCCAAACCAAAAGCAATTGAAAGCCATTGTCTGAATGAAGAAATTTATGCCTGATTAGGAGAAACAGTCATGTCACCACCATGGCATGAATTAAGATCATCTTTCTGGAGCTCCTTTAAAAACCAATGGGTTTTAGGGTTTTTGTTTGTTTGTTTTTTTTTTGTTTTTTTTGGGTTTTTTTTTTTGGTTTTTTGGTTTTTGTTTTTGTTTTTGTTTTTGTTTTTTTTTTTTTTTGGTTTTTTGGTTTTTTTTTAATACAAGTTCTTCAGCTAGAATTTTAACAGCAAGGCGAACTTCAGTTTGTCTGGGCAGAACCACAGCAAGAACCACCATCAACAAGAACATAATTCTCTGAAGAGGTTTCAGTCTCACAGTGAGGAAACCCAGAAAAAAAAAAAAACAAAAACAAAAACAAAAACAAAAACCAAAAAACCAAACAAAGAACCCCATTAAAACTACTGCAATGTGGTTTGGTTTTCCAGGGCATTAAGAAGCCCTCCCAAAAAGATCCTGATCTTAAATCTCAGAGCTGTTCTTGGACTGCACATGCCACGTTCAAGGGCACCCTGTAGTGCCAGCACTGGGCTGACCTCCCCAGAAGGAAGAGGAGATTCACAGCTCTGAACCACAAGCACTCTGCATACAGTCCATATAGGGGATGGATATTTGGGATCTGACCCAAATAAGCAAAGGTCAGTGGGCAATTTTTCAATTTTTCTTCAGCGGCCGACAGACCTGTGCAGAGGTCTGAAAAATCCATCACCTCAAGGGGGGGAAACAAAAACCAAAACACCACAACAACAGCAAAAACAAACAAACAAACAAACAAAACTCCAAAACCAAAAGCAGTTAGCCTCTCTTTTTGTCAAAATATAGGACTAAACATACCTGAAATGGTATGTTCCTTGGCCTTCTTCTGAAAGATGGAGACAACCAGAGAATCTCAATAATTTGGGTGACACATCAGCAACCAGAACTGAAGAAATGCACAGTTGATAAAGCAATAATATCCTTCCGAGGTATATTAGATTACACATTAAAACATTTCTTCCACAGCAAAAACAAAACACGGGCATTGATTTTTAACCTCTAAGATGGATCTCAAGTTCATCACCCGTCACTGCAATCCTCAAATCTTTCTGGTTTTTTTCACATCTGGGAGGGTGTTCTGATTCAGATTCACTGGTCCCCCATCCTGCCTCTTAACATCTTCCCTTATTTGTTCTTAAACGCCTCAGAATAATCAATGTATGGACATCACTGACACCCTTCCATGGAGCTGTGCCTCCAAGCTCAGCAGCACCGCACCCCAGTATCCCCCTGATGCATTCCAGGATGTATTTTGAACTTTTTGAGGAACTGCATCTACTGTGCAGCCGATGTGCAGATTTCAGTGGGTGGGAAATGACCCGAGGCCTGCTTTGGGTCTACTCAAAATCACTTCAGATTAAAAGGTGGGTTAAAAACAAAGCACACGAATTCCTGCTCAACTGCTATCTCGCTTTAAAGATCTCAGGTTTCCATAATGACATTAAAATCACAGTAAGAATGTTGCCGTAGGTTTTCAGGAAAAAACAGTATTTTATGACACCAAAAAAGACAGCTGTGAAAACTGTTTTGCTTTTTCCAGGAGAAATTATGTATGTTATGATGCTCTGAGGAACCTACTAAAAGCTTGCCAGTATCATTTTAATGCAACCTAGTGAGTGGGGAGAAATATTCCATCTTAATTTAAAACACATCCAAAAGAAGGAATGCTCTTGAAAATGAGATGTTAAAAATCCCAAAAATTAGGCATCATCACCTAGGAAAAAAGGAGACATTTCATGATACCCTCTGGAAGAACCTGAGCAGCCTCAAGCTGCACGCACTTACCTCCAAATGCTTTCAGAAATCTAAAAATATATGCTTATATACACTATTTACTTGGCCAACTGATCAACCTCCACAATCCTGTGGTCTTTAACCAAAGAAAAATATCTAGAAAGGTGACCTCTGCATGAAAGCATCAGAGAAAAAAAGCCTGAGGATGTGTTTCTCTGTGTGAAGGAGAATCTGAGCAATTTCCTCCAATCCTCATTTCCTGATAACATGAAGACAGCGAGAAGACCCATCACAATGTTGTGCATTGAAAAATCTGAAGGGGAAAAGACCTTAGGGGGAAAAAATCATGATTAAGCCAGCTCCTGCTCCAGCAAAGCCTCAAAACATGGAGAGACATCCACAATGTTAGGAGCACTTCCCATCTCAGCTTTGTCTACTCTCTCTCTCCTCCATTTTCTGGTGGAGCTAGAGAACATGACATGGCTTACCTGACTCAGATCACAGCTCTCTGCCAAACTAGTCACTTCCTCTTAGACATGCAAGCAGCTTCATGAGACAAACAGACCCCCACAGACGCACACACAAAAGCAGGAGCGGAAAGCACTCAAAACTTGGAGGTCTCTCCCCTTCCAAACACCAGAGAAACAAATGAAACTTTTTGCCTTTTTCTCCCCCAAAAAAAGAGGGAGGTGAAGGGAAGGGGGGGAGGAATCCTATCAGATCACAACTACATGAAGCTCCAGGAGGATCTCTGTGTGAGGAGAAGAGAAACCACAATGCTGAGGGGAGCCGGGGGGCACGGGGGGGGAAGGAGAAGGTTACTCCAGAAGACATAAAGAGCCTGTGGACTCTGTGTGTGTGCATGTGAGCGAGAGCGAGGAGAAGCTTTGTGTTGTGGAGCCTGGACTGGAACCAAAGCAGACAGCTTGCAAATGGAGGACAGGGAGATAAAGAAAGGGAAAGAGGGGGAGAGATAGGGAGAAACCTGCTCCGGGTGGGTTGAGAAAGGGGCAGGGGAGAAGGCGCCTTCTCCCTTGCCTGGTTTAAAGGTAGGGACATCGGGGAACTGAGCAAGTAGAAGTGGGCTCCTTCCCCTTCCTTTCTTCCCTTCTCGCTCTCCTTTCTCTCAGAGGAGAGCACAAGCGTGTGTAATGGCTCCTGCTCTCCAGCTGAACGCTGTCCTCCTCCAAGCCACCTCCTGTGGGCACCACCAGCCCCCCCCAGCCCCGACGCCGCCGGGGACCCCCGCATCCCAACTCCAGGAGAGCCGCGGTGGGGGCACCACGGCCGGGGTGTGAGGGACCAGCCTCTCCAGCGGCGAGGAGGGCAGCGAGAGGGGACGAGGAGAAAGAGGAGGAGGGCGAGAGTGGTTGGGAGAAAGGAAGAAAGAAAGCAAGAAGGAGAGAAAGAAAGAAAGAAAGAGAGAGAGAAAAAAAGAAAGAAAGAAATTAAGGAAGGAAGGAAGGAAGGAAGGAAGGAAGGAAGGAAGGAAGAAAGGAAGGAAGGAAAGAAGGAAGGAAGGAAGGAAGAAAGAGGTCACCCGATTGCCTGGGTCGTGCCAGCACGGAGCTTTTCTCTCCTCCGTGTGTCTCCCGTCTCTGATCCAAGTCCACACGCACAGCACCATCCAGACCTCGCACACACACACACACATAGCCTCTCAGGCACCCCCCACCCCGAAAGCTCGGCTGGTATCTCACTTATCTCCCCATATTTCCCCCCACCTCCCCCCCCCACCCCGTAATGCAACAACAAAAAATTAATTAACCGCCTTCCTCCTCCTCCCACCACCACCACCACCACCACCAGCACCTCCTCCTCTTCTCCTCCTCCATGCAAGAGACTTCTCTCTCAAACAAAACACCCCGCTCTCGCTCTCCTCTCTTCTCTCTCTCTCTTTTTTTTTTTTTTCTTCCTTTCTTTCTTCCTCCTTCCTCCGTTGACCGAATGAATGGATTTCAGAGGAAGGTGGTGGAAAGAAAGACAGACATAAAAGACCAAACAAACGCGCACAGACACACACACAACAGAGACACACACACACACACACACACACACACACACAAAAACGAGAGATGATCTCTCCAATGCCAAACCAGAGATGGGTTTTAATTGCAAGAACTTACAGGAGCGTCCCGGCACTGCTGCTCTTGCTGCTGCCTCCTCTCCTCTCCTCTTCCTCTCTGCCTAGCTCTTCTTGTTATTGTTGTGGAAGTTGTTTTGTGAGTCTCATGTGCTCCTTGCCAGGTCTCAGCAATGGAGGATCGCCATCTTTCCCTGCTTTTCCCCCCCTCTCTCTCTCTCCCTCTCCCTCTCTCTCTCTCTCTCCTTCACTGGTTTGCTGCAGCTGCAGATGACCTGAGATATCCGTCTCTCTCTCTCTCTCTCTCTCACCCTCTGTGTCTCTCTCTGAATAATGAGCAACCAGAGGGAGAGAGAGAAAGAAGACAATCTCCTCTCCTACCACACAAAACGCAAGAGCACCAGGGGGTGCAAGAATCCTTTCTAACAACAACAACAACGTGTAGGGGAAGAGGAGGAAAAAGAGAAAGAAAAGAGAAGAAAAGAGAGGAGGAAAAGGCAAGAAGAAAGAGGAGGGAGGTGGAAGAGGAGGGGGGGAAGCAAGCAAGCGAGAGAGATCCAGCAGGCAGACAGATGGAGGAGAAGATGGTAGTGATAGAGGAGGAGGTGTTGAAGATGAAGGAGATTAAGAGGAGGAAGGTGGTAACAAAAAGTTAAGGTTTGGGACACTGAATCACTCACAGGCCAGGGAGGAGGAGAAGAAGGGGGAAAGATCTGAAGATCTTCCCCTTCCAAGCTGTTGCCTTCACAAAGCTTCCTGTGCAGGAGCGCTCAGCAGCTCCTGCGATGCTGGGGGAGCCGCTGGGATGGAGCGCTCTGCTGGGTCATAGCTCTCTTCCAGCCATGACAAAAACCGGTTTCTGCATGCAGATCTGCCCCCGAGGTGATCCCTCAGACACATCCATCTAGAGGCTAATCTTCCCTGAGCAGGGTAAAGAACATAAATGGAGCTGGAGGTTGCAAAGTATAAAACCAGATCTACCACGTGGTTGGTTTTTAATCCCCCTTCCAGCTCGCATTTGATGTGGAGAAAGGACACTCAAATTGTCCATTTCTGGCACGTATTTTGAAGTCTACTCCTGGAAATAAAGACAGTCATCTCCAGGTTTTTTATTTCTCACAAGCGTTTGGGAGAAAAGAGAGCTTGCATTGCTATCACCAAAATCACTTCTACATTGGTGAAACTTTTTTTTTTTTTGGCCGCAAAATAAAATAAATAATTCCACTTAAAACAACTTTTATGCCTCCCAACACCTAGTTGTCTGCCCCTTTGTGACTGATTATTTAAAACCGTGGAAACTAACGATCAAGGCTCACAAAGAAAGGTATCTGGGTGATGAAGGCAAGCAGACAAAGACAAAGCGGCTGTAGCCTGCATTTTTATTTAGTCTCGTTTCTATTAAGCATTGTCCTGAGCTACTTCTTTTTGCTCGACACCCCCACCTCAGCGCAACCCCCCCCCCTCCTCCTCCCCTCCAGTCTTTCCACAGCACCAGGTCAGATTCTTTCTGGGGTTATGTCTAGCGAGGAAAGGGGGATGGGGGTGGAGGGGCGGGAGGAATTAGGGTTTACGTGCAGACTCAGTAAATCAATACGCGGGAGTGAGGCAAAATCAATTTGAGCACAAGGGCATGACTGGTATTGGAACATCACTGGGGTTTCTCCAGCTCTCCAGCTCTGCAGTTTTGCATGGCTGGAAGAGAGACTAGAACCACGGAGCTCCAGTTCGGGTGGAGGGGGAGATCCTCCCCTGCTCCGAGGAAGTTTACACATGAGAGGGGAACCTGAGGTGATCTCCTGGAAATTTTTTGAGTTCAGGTTTTACTGACTCTGGGAGAAGTCAGTGGTGTTAGAACTTCATTGTCTGTCTCAGCTCAGCTGAAGACCAAACGCAGGAATACTAACCATATCAATAAAATAAAATAATAAAAATCGGTCGCCCAGGTAGTGGTCAGATATTAAACCCATGCATCCTCCGATCTTCCCATCCGCAAGAATGCTGTGAGTACAAAGCACACATGCAGGATCTCTCCCATTAAATCTTCTTTTTCTTTGAGCCGTGCAAGTTAATGACTAAACAGGAGAAAGATCTCCCTCCTTCTCCTCCTCCTCTCCCCTCTTTCCGCTCCCCCTCCCTCCACCCCAAACAAGTGCTGTGAGGAATGGGAGGAAGGATAATATCTGGGCAGAAGGAGCACTGTTGGATTTAGAGAATCCTTCTCAAGGAAAAGGGGAAAAAACACCAAAACTGAGGATTCCTACTAAGACTCCTGGTTTCATGCAGACAAACGGAGCGGACACCTCCTAAGAAGCTGATAAAAGAACATTAAGGAAAAGGGAGGGACTGTCTTTACGGCTGCCAGAATGTGCATGTGTTCTGCCTGCAATTTTCTATAAATCATCCCCAATCGCAGGAACAGAGCGCCTGGGCTTTGCAATCTTTGACGTACCATCAACGCCGAGACAGATAATTCACCTCTTTGTCTTTCAGCATTTTAAATTTAAGAACCAAGCAAACAAACAAACAAAAACAAAAGGGGGAAGGAAAAAAAAAAGCCCCACCAAACCTAAAATAATAAAAAATAAATTAAAAGAGAGCGAGAAAGAAAGAGCAACCCACAAAACACGTTGCTTCTGACCAGAAAGAAAGAAACTGGATCTTCATGGAGATAGTCTGGAAGTGTTTTCCCGCCCTATCCCCCCGGTCCTTGCCGGTGGGGGGGAGGGGGGAGTCCATCCCTTGCCGGTGCTGGAGGAGCCCCCCGAGCCCCGGGGGGATGGCGGGGGGCTCCGGCGGCAGGAGCTGGGGGCGGCCGGAGGAACCGCGGCTCCGTGGGGCAGCTCTGGGGGCCACGGGGCGGGGGCTTCTCCCCAAGGCTCCGGTGGTCCATAACTTCCTCCCCGCAGCCCTGCTGCCATCCCCAGGGCGCTCCGAGCGCCGCCGGGGACAGCCCGCAGCGAGGTGGACACGCCGGGCTCTGGAGAAGGGAACACCAGGAGAAAGAGGATGGGGGAGCCTCCCCGGAGACCCCCCGAGATCTCGGACCGCTGGTTTGGCTCAGGAAAGAGCATTTGTGGCTACCGAGAGGAGGGGGGCGAGCCCGGGGGGTGCAGGACCATCCGCGGCTCCTGGGAATGCGGGGGGACACTCCTGGCTCGCCCCGGTGCCGTGCCCGGCAATGAAGAGGTTAATCTTGCTGGCAGCCCCCTGGTCTTAATTAGCCCGGCGGGTTAAGTGTCCCATTAAGGGCGATGAAGATAGTTTGCTCTTCTCTGGGTGCTGGCGTTTGGGACGTCGGGCAGTGGCCGGGATGGCCCGGGATTCCTCCGGGATGGAGCCCACGGCATCCCCGCTCCCCACCCGCGGTTGGGAAGGTGGAGGGGAATTTCGGCTTCTTTCTGCCTTCCCAACAAAGGTGGTGTCCCACCGCCGTGTTGGTTTGAAGCCACAGTAGAAAGGATGATCTCGGTTCGAAATAAAAGAAATGAAGCCTTTGCTCATTTGTCTGGTCCATGTTCCACCATGGAGCCAGGGGAACGAAAAGCCAGGGGTGAGGGGGAAAAAAAACACAAAAATCCCCAAATCAACCAGACAACCGTTGGTTTTTCAACAAAGAACCAAACACAAACATCTTTCCAGCCTCTAGGATTGACTGCATCTTTCCTCACCCAGGTAATCTGACCAGCCTGAGCTCGATCCCAAGCATTTCGTCCCTAAATCTGGGGCTGGCTGTTGTGCAATGAGTCAGGTCATTTGCATGGCCATAGCTGTGTCCTGTTCCTGCAGCCCGTGAAGGCAGCACAGTGAGCCGCAGGGCAGCAAGACCACAGGCAGAGGGGAGAGAAGACAGATGTGGAAAGACCAAGATGATTCTATTCTGAATTTCCTTTCCTCCTAGCCCAAAGCTATATCTCCATGGGGTCTAATTTGCTTCTCAGGATGGCAAACTGGTAAATTTAGCATGGACAGTGAACACAGCCTTAGTGAGCAGGAGACATCAGGAAAGCAAGTTGGAAAATAAGACACTGAAAGCACAGTCTTTGCACCTAGTCAGCAGTGAAGCAATGTCCACTCACAGACCTGGAAGAGGCTTCTCTTTTTTCCTTTCCAGATTTCTTCTTCCTTTTCCTACAATAAGTTTGTGTGAACTTGTATTTATTCTCCTCTTCTTCACAGATGTTTTATCCTACCAGAGCTAGGCTTCAGAATCCTTATGCAAGAGGTAAGTATTGTATCAGTCTGTCTGTAGAATGTTATGTTCTCCAGCTCTTGAGAGAATTTAACTTTCCTGTCTAAAAAAGATTAGTAATGTGCTGATCTGACTTTTACCCTGGTAACTCTCATATTTTTTTAACCTCTAAGACTTTCCTTATTGGGAGATGACTTTGAGGAGAAGCTAGTTGTCTGGAAGTGCTGAAGTCTTGCTCTGATCTATGAAAGACAAGGGACATCATCTGATCAAGAAAATTTTCTTTAAGCAAGTACTCTTGTAGATGGCAGTGTATTCAAAAAGGTTTACGTGTAAATAGTGCAAATCTAGGCTCTTAAGGACTCTTCAGTAAATTTTCCTATTAAAACATAAAACTTTTAACTAAATTTGAAATGCTTTTCTTTTAACCTGGCAGAGCTCAGACTGGGATCTCCAAGAGCGAGCTCTTCACGGTGAGATCACTTTGTCTGCAAGCACACCCTAGAATGTAGTACACATGTTGAAAACCCATAGAAAGATGTGTTTTTATGTTGCTGAGAATGCTTAAGAGAAGTGCACTGGTGAGGACCATGCTGGGTATTGGAAGTCACTTCCTTCTCTGATAGATGCATAAGTGGCAATTATTAGAAATAGAGGTTTTGCTCCCTTAGGGGAGCTGAATCTTTAGCAGTCGAAATGCTAGAGTAAACTCACTGCTGGGTTTTTATAGCTGCCCCCAGTGTTCCTCAGAAACTCTTCACTAGGACCAGGGCTCAAGAAATCACTTTGCAAAGAGAACCAGTCCTTCTCCAAAACCTTTCAGTTGAGGTGTGAGACAGGAATAATGGATGTGTGGCGTTGGCAGTCTGTGGTAGACCGCAAGGTGGGTTTGGTGGGTGCCACAGGTCACATTTCCCCAGCCTCAGAACATGTCTGAAAGTGCAGGCAGCAGAAAAAACTTGCATTTAGAGACCAGTGAAACTTGCAGCTGAGTTAATGAAAAATAATTCCTCCAGTGTTAAAATTAACTGG